GCAACTCTCTCTGGAGCTTCAGCGACGCTTCCGGACGACGCAACTCTCTCTGGAGCTTCAGCGACGCTTCCGGACGACGCAACCCCCTCTGGAGCTTCAGCGACGCTTCCGGACGACGCAACTCCCTCTGGAGCTTCAGCGACGCTTCCGGCAGACGCAACCCCCTTTGGAGCTTCAGCGACGCTTCCGGACGATGCAACCCCCTCTGAAGCTTCAGCGACGCTTCCAGCCGACGCAATCCCCTCTGGAGCTTCAGCGACGCAACCCCTTCTAGAGTTTTAGCGACGCTTCCGGCCGACGCAACTCCCTCTGGAGCTTCAGCGACGCTTCCGGACGACGCAACTCCCTCTGGAGCTTCAGCGACGCTTCCGGACGACGCAACTCCCTCTGGAGCTTCAGCGACGCAACCCCTTCTAGAGTTTTAGCGACGCTTCCGGCCGACGCAACTCCCTCTGGAGCTTCAGCGACGCTTCCGGACGACGCAACCCCCTCTGGAGCTTCAGCGACGCTTCCGGACGACGCAACCCCCTCTGGAGCTTCAGCGACGCTTCCGGACGACGCAACCCCCTCTGGAGCTTCAGCGACGCTTCCGGACGATGCAACCCCCTCTGGAGCTTCAGCGACGCTTCCGGACGATGCAACCCCCTCTGGAGCTTCAGCGACGCTTCCGGACGATGCAACCCCCTCTGGAGCTTCAGCGACGCTTCCGGACGATGCAACCCCCTCTGGAGCTTCAGCGACGCTTCCGGACGACGCAACTCCCTCTGGAGCTTCAGCGACGCAACCCCTTCTAGAGTTTTAGCGACGCTTCCGGCCGACGCAACTCCCTCTGGAGCTTCAGCGACGCAACCCCCTCTGGAGCTTCAGCGACGCTTCCAGACGACGCAACCCCCTCTGGAGCTTCAGCGACGCTTCCGGACGACGCAACTCCCTCTGGAGCTTCAGCGACGCTTCTGGACAACGCAACCCCCTCTTGAGATTCAGCGACGCTTCCGGACGACGCAACCCCCTCTGGAGCTTCAGCGACGCTTCCGACCGACGCAACCCCCTCTGGAGCTTCAGCGACGCCTTCGGACGACGCAACTCCCTCTGGAGCTTCAGCGACGCTTCCGACCGACGCAACCCCCTCTGGAGCTTCAGCGACGCTTCCGGACGACGCAACCCCCTCTGGAGCTTCAGCGACGCAACCCCCTCTGGAGTTTCAGCGACGCAACCCCCTCTGGAGCTTCAGCGACGCCTTCGGACGACGCAACTCCCTCTGGTACTTTTCTTCAATTCTCTAACAGTCTTTATGAAGCTAACTCGTTTATGTTTGCTCATAACGCAGTTCTCACAAGGACTTATAACAATCTCCGCATCAAAATACACCTTGTTCATAGCCAACGGTTTTTCGTACATATTCGACAGCGTCTTCAACAGACCTGACTTTGTCTTCTCCTTGATAATGTTGAACGCCACGTTTCTGGATAGCGTCAACCGGATCAGCCCCAAGGCTTGTCGATCCTTGAGCTTCCACTGTTCCGTGGTCATGGTATCCGGCTTCACCCTCAACAGAGGTTCGTGAAGATCTTTCTGGTACAGATAATCTTCAATCTGCATTTTCCAGAAACCGAAATTGGATCCATCGAACTTCTCAATTCCAATCTTTGAACTTTCCATCTTCACAGATCGTGGTGAATTTCGCCTAGCTCTGACTTCCGCCTGGCTCCTGGCACTGACTTCCGTCTGGCTCTGACTTCTGCCTGGCTCTAACTTCCGTCTGGCTCTGGCTCTGATACCAGTTGTTAGGATCGATACCAGTTGTTAGGATCGCACAACAACGCACACGCTCGATCTAGATGAACACAAAAAGAAGGATAGAGAGAAGTTGCAAGGAGAACTCTGGCTAAAAGGATTTTTTATTGATGACTTCAGGCATGTACAACAAGAGAGTACAGAGAATAGAAAAGTACATCTACAAAGCTCTACCGGACCAGATATATATATGGTATAGTTTACTATATATAGCTTTACCAGATTTAGCCATCTACTATATATAACTATTTACCATATATAGCTTTACCGGATATAGCTTTACCATATATAGCTTTACTATATATCGCTTACCAAATATAGCTTTACCGGATATAACCGTTGACCAAGCTATAAATAAGTATCAGGCTCCATAGCCTAACACTCACAATCCATCCCCTTGAAGCCCAACGTCTGGGACATCGTCTGGTGACTGGCTCTGATACTATTTGTAACCGTCCAAGCCTACCACTACCAAATATTGTCCGTTTTGGCCTGTTATGTATTGTCATTATTTTAAAACGTGTCTGCTAGGGAGAGATTTCCTCTCCAATTAGTGTAGGATCTCACAATTCACCCCCCTTGGAGGGCACATTGTCCGGTGACTGACTCTGATATCATTTGTAACAACCCAAACCCACCACTAGCAAATATTGTCCGTTTTAGCCCGTTACGTATCGCCATCAGCCTCACAGTTTTAAAACATTGTCCGGTGACTGACTCTGATATCATTTGTAACAACCCAAACCCACCACTAGCAAATATTGTCCGTTTTAGCCCGTTACGTATCGCCATCAGCCTCACAGTTTTAAAACGTGTCTGCTAGAGAGAGGTTTCCTCTCCAACCAATGTGGGATCTCACAATCCACCCCTTTGGGGGGCACACCGTCCAGTGACTGGCTCTGATATCATTTGTAACAGCCCAAGTCCACCACTAGCAAATAATTGTCCGTTTTGGCCTGTTACGTATTGCCGTCAGCACCACAGTTTTAAATGCATCTGTTAGGGAGAGATTTCCACACCCTTATAAAGAATGTTTCGTTCTCCTTTCCAACACATGATCTCACAGACATTATATAGATGGGCACAATACAACAATGGAGTGTAGTTTGATTGATGATAATGTGAATTGGATATACAAGTTCATGCAGAAGCCTCCCTGTCAGGAAAAGAGCTACATCACCTTAGAGTGTGAGGTTCTCGAGGCTGCTGTTCTTCATGTTCTTGCTTTCTCCATATATGTCGGCTTGCTTGAGTTGCTCCACTTTCATACCCGCTGCTGTCTCCAGATTCATTCACAAGCCTTTCCATGAGCTTTTCCTTTAGCAGCGATCGACCTGGTTGTTCCCGTCTCGCTCTATGATCCTGAAACATTTGGGACAAGACAATACTGGATCATAAGACGTAGAGAATAATCACGAGTTTATAAGTAACGAATATATCTCCATTAGAACGAGGCCTTTTGGGGAAGCTTAAAAGAAGAGCTTATGCTCAAAGTAGACAATATCATACTAGTGTGAAGAGTCGTGGTTTCTAACAATAGAAAGAACAAAAACCACGTAGGGTAAAAACGTTGTTAACTCACATCTCGGAAAGGGAACTCATCAGCTTCAAGCATATGAATTACATGCCCCATTTTAGGCCTCTTCTGAACGTTAGGATCCACGCACCGTAACGCGACTAACAGAGCACGCTTTAGCACCCTCGACGAAGGCTTCTCGGGCAACTTAGGATCCAGAATTCCCTCAGTGTTTCGATTACTAACCATTGATTTAAGCCACTCAACCAAGTTGACCTGAATGTTAGATCCATGGCCGTGAAGGGTTAGGGGGAAATAGGAGCCTGGACTGGCTTAAATATGCAGTGTCAAGTAGTCTGGGTGAGTGAAAACAAACCTCTCCTGAAGGGCGGCTATAATCTACTGGATTTCTCCCTGAAATTATCTCCATAATCAGGATTCCAAAGCTATATACATCACTTTTTTCATTCAACATGCCAGTGCTAGCATACTCGGGAGCTACATAGCTACAACACGACCCAGATGGCAATGCTAAGGTACTCGGTCGGGATCATGAATTCAAAATTAGAAACCAAGCGATATGTAAACTAACCCGAAAGTTCCCATCACACGAGTTGTTACATAACTCCTCTCTGATCCAAGAAGCTTAGCTAGGCCGAAGTCGGAGACTTTTGGATTCCATTGCTTGTCAAGCAAAATGTTACTCGACTTGATATCACGGTGAACAACCTTAGGCTCGAGCCCGTCGTGGAGGTACGTTAACCTACGATTTTATGCAGTTAAAACCATGGCAAGAACCTATAGATCAAACAATGTAGAACGTACCCTTTTGCTGTTCCAACAATTATGTTCATTCTAATGTCCCAAGTGAGAGGGTTAGAAAGCCCAACTTCTCCATGAAGCCACTGTTCTAAGTTTCCATTATCAACGTACTCGTAAATAAGCATCCTACAACAAGACAAGCACGTCGGCTAATTAAAGGGTTAATCATGAGTTTATAAGTAAGGAATATATCTCCACGGGTATGAGGTCTTTTGAAGAAAACAAAAACAAAGCCACGAGAGCTTATGCTCAAAGTGAACAATATCATACTATTGTGGAAAGTCGTAGCTTCTAACATGGTATAAGAGGCATGTCCTTAACATAGCCATGTCAATACAATCCTCAAATGTCGAACAAAGAAATTGTGAATCTCGAAAGTGTAGTCAAAAGTGACTCAAGCATCGAACAAATGGTGTACTTTGTTCGAGGGCTCAGTCGAACCTCGATTAAACGGAGGTTGTTCGAAGCAGGGGAGGCTCTATGGTGTACTTTGTTCGAGAGGAGGATTGTTGGGAGAGAAGTCCCACATAGGCTAATTAAAGGGTTGTTCATGGGCTTGTAAGCAAGGAATACATCTCCATTGGTACGATGCCTTTTAGAGAAACCAAAAACAAAAACACGAGAGGTTGTGCTCAAAGTGAACAATATCATTGTGGAGAATCGTAGTTCCTAACATAATATTAGAGACATGCCCTTAACTTAGCCATATCAATAGAACACTCAAATGTCGAACAAGGAATACCTGTGAGCTCGTTCAGCACAATAGCCAAGCAAACGCACCAGATTCTTGTGTCGAACGCGTCCAATTGCTTCCACTTCAACCTTAAACTCCTTCTCAGCCTGTCCCCTGATCAAACTCAGTAGAGAATCCTTGTAAACTAAGATCAAAACTCGTACTACAATGGCATAACTGCAAGAAATTACAAGTTTCTGATGAAAGAAGAAGAAGAAGAACCTGTTATTGAGCAAGTTTTTGATGGCTACCACAGTGTTGTCCTCAAGAACACCACGGTACACAATTCCATATCCGCCTTCACCAATGACATGTTCATCCGCAAAGCCATTAGTAGAACACTCAAGCTCTCTGAGAGTATACCTATGTCCCCAACCCAAATGCGAAACCACCGACAACTGCTCACCGGACCGAACTTCTCCACTACCGTGACACGAACCGCCGTCCCTCTCCGGGAACGAAACCCGGCGGTCCTTCCCAATTTCAATGCGGGTTCTACGGCGTCCATTACCTGGGCTCCCTTGTTCCGTCTGAAGCTGTTCTGCCTCCGGCAAGGACTCAGGGTCAGAATGAATGGAGCCGCGAGAATGGTCGATTCGTATTTCCTGGATTTCCTTCGAGACATTTGGGACAATGGGGTTCAAAGAGGGCTTAGATTTAGACGCCCTGTTGCGCCTGACAATGAACCACAACGAAATGAAGAACAGAACGATAACAATAGCGGCACCCACGCAAATTCCCAGAGCGACCCACAAGCGCAAACCAAAAATGGAGATCCTCCTCGAGAGCTGATCGTTCAAGAACGCATAATTAGACATTTCCCCCTTCCTCCTCCTCCTTCTTCTACAGATGATATCTGAAAATGAGGTGGGGTTCCGCCATTTTTATGAACCAACCCCGTCTCCATTTCAGATTCTTCCTCTGCAAATTTCTTTTATACAGGGATTCAAGTAAAGAAGCCAATGAAACGAACCCGAATTGTTAAGAAAACAGAGCAGTGAGGAGGGCTTTTGTTGTATCTGATCGTGATTGGAACAATAATGGCGATGAATTTGGTATAGTTGGAGATTTTGTTTTTGTTGGTATGTATAAAGATAGTGATCACGGACTTGGGAGAAATCCGGAAGTGGAGAGATTAATTAAAGTTGTAATCTAGTTTAGACTACTTAATTACTTGCTAACTACCATCATAATTTGTTTTCTTTTCCCTTCTCTAAATATTGCTTAAATTATTAGTAAATTACATTTTTATCATAATATGCATATAAATAACTAAAAAGTTAAATTATAAATTTGGTATTATACCTAAAAAATTATTATAATTTAAATATGTTTTGATAAAACTTTATAAATAATTAATTCCAATTCATCACTAATTATAACATTTAAATTATTAAAACTAAATTCTAAATTATTTTTTAAAAAATAATTCAAAAATGATAGTGTTCGCTTTAATAATAATAATAATGAAAATAATTATGGGTACCTGGTTGAGTAATAATTGATAATAAATAGTATGAGTTAATGTTACATAATTAATAGAGTTTGACTGTGTCTTCAAATGCCTTTAGTCTTTCTACAGCACCAAACAGGGGTACCCTCCTTTTTAAGGGCACCATCAATGGCCAAGCCTTTTCCTTTCCCTTCCTCTCAAGGGCACCAAAGTTCCATCTTCAATGATATGCCCTTCCCCTTTCTCATATAAGACACTTTATCCCTCTGGCAGATGGGTTCACATCAACTTGGGCTTCTCACTTGTCCTTGTCCTTGTCCTTGTTTGTGAAGGGGCAATCTTTTTTACTAACGACTCTCGCCCACCGTTAGTAGATATTGTCCTCTTTGGATTTTTCCTTTCGGGCTTCCCTCAAGGTTTTTAAAACGTATTTGCTAAGGAGAGGTTTCCACACCGTTGTAAAGAATGTTTCGCTCCTCTCTCCAACCGATGTGAGATCTTACAATCCACCCCATTCGAGGACCAGTGTCTATACTGGGCCCTGAAAGAGGGTGGATTGTGAGATCCTACATCGGTTGGAGAGAGGAACGAAACATTCTTTACAAGGGTGTGGAAACTTCTCCCCAGCAAAGGCGTTTTAAAAATCTTTAGAGGAAGCCCAAAAGGGAAAGCCGAGAGAGGACGATATCCACTAGATCAACAGAGCATTACAAGGCACAGGCAGTAATCCAACGCAACAGCAGCATATGAACAAACTTAAATGGGCACTATGATATAATATGAAGGATATCCTGCAAGGAGCCAGCATAGTTTTTGTTTTTGTGTTCTTGACAGCATTACAAGGAAAAATAAGGACCACCACTTTTGCTTCTCCCCAAAAACATTTGGCAGCTTTTATATCACCTTTCTTATCAGATAGATAAACCAGAAGAGCTAGATTTTTGCATTTCTATGTTTGGCTGTGTAATACTTGACGTTTCTTTAACATATAGAGTCTAAAGGATAAATCTATGTTCAACTATTCTACACTAGATTTCTGGTGAGTGTAAGAATCTATGATGATGTTTTTAGTTCAAAATCTGCAAGGAACGTAAAGGAATTGCTTCATTAGAATGTCATACTCTAGTGAGCAGCTTCCTACGACGCGTTTGCTGAGTCCTTCCGTGTTTGAGCGTAGCAATCTAGCTGCGTGGCTGGTTGGGCTTCCTACACATTTTCAAGAAAACATTGGTACCAATCCCATAATCCATGAAGAAGTTTGTTAATGTTCTTGTTGTGATTACCTTGAAATTAGAGGAAAGGTCGAACTGTCCATCGTACGCCTGAATTGCTGATTCAAACCCGAATGTGGTTTCTGAGGTTGTGATGTTTGGTACAGAAGGGATGGCTAGTGACTGATCTGAAAGGTTGCATTTATTGGACAGATTGAATGTCGATTGCATTGGACACCCTTCGTTGCCGGGAGACAACGCGTCTATTCCTCTTCTGGATGCTAGAAATGCATTTCCTACGTCGAAGTCCAACCCCATCTGAGGTAGTTGCATTGGCTGCAGCATTCCTGGCAAGCACATCGGTTGCAAACTCGAGCCATTTCTCATCGATAACATCTGCAATGCCAAACGTCAATGATAACAAGGTTAAATCTGTTCATCCAAATATAGCCAAGGAAATCTGTTCATACTCCTAGTTGCTCCAGACATTACACAACAAATATAGCCCGAAATGAGCGAAAACGGGGAAAGTTTACACAGTAATGATCAAGAGAGGAAGTTTTCCTGATCATCATTTCTGAGGTTGCACTTGTTGAATCCGCGAATTATATCATTATCAAATAATCCGAAACCGAGTGATGGCGCCCTTGGGCTGATTTCATATCAATTTGGTATCAGATCTTTTTCTTGGGTTAATTCCTTATCACCACCGCTAGCAGATATTATCCTATTTGGGCTTTCCCTTTTCGGCTTCCCCTCAAAGTTCTAAAACGCGTCTGTTAGGAAGAGGTTTCCGCATCCTTATAATCAATACTTCGTTCTCCTCTCCAACCAATGTGTGATCTCACAATCCACCCCCTTAGGGCTAGCAACCTCGCAAGCACACCGCAGGTGTTTGGCTCTAATACCATTTGTAACAACACAAGCCCACCGCTAACAAATATTGTCCTTTTTGGACTTTCCATTCCGGGCTTCCCTTCAAGATTTTAAAACGCATCTAGTAGGGAGAGGTTTCTACACCCTTACAAGCAATGTTTCATTCTCCTCTCCAACCGATATGCTATCTCACAAGAACCATGGGATTTGAAAAAATTTCAACCCTTAGAGACAACAAATCTCATAATCATACGAAAATTCAGAGGGGGTTTTCGCCATAAATCTGAAAGGTTCGGCCAGAAATAAACTTAGAATACAATCCTTCAATCTTTCAAAGTTCTCTAAATGGTATGAAACCCTGAATCAAGAAGCCTGGCACATTTTACTTGACTCATATCTAGTGGACAAAAAGAACATTACATTTTTGATACATCAGCACATAAGATTTTGTAGCCCAGATTCATGGACTGTTTGTAATTAGTCTCTAATTCAATGAACAAGATCATATAAACAGAGATGATTCCATAGAAAAGTGAAAACGATATCAAATCCTCAGATCCATAACCCCAAAAGAACAAAAGACACCCACCTGAACTTGAAGTTGAAGCTGCTTCAAATACTCAATTGCTTCATCCAACATTGAAGCTTTGTCCGTCTGTCAAAAGCACAACTCCTTGTAAGCTATTGAAAAGCGAAACTATCATAATCTTGAATTTGACAAACATACCTTGTTTGAATTAGGAATTAGATTTTGAAGGGCTTTCATTTTCTCATTGATCCTCCTCCGTCGTCTCTGTCCCACCCACCAACAACATCAGTAAAAGTTAAGCAATCAAACGCTCTTGGTATAATCTATGCTTAGACAACCAGGGACCCAATTTGAAACTGACCTTCTCCGACATATTATGGACCTCGGCGCTTCTACTTCTCTTCGATGAACTTCGAGGTAGATCAGTACTGGATGGAGCTTCAGGCACATCGGCACCCTTCAAAAGAGGATCAAATTAACTGAAGAACAAGCAAAAACTGAGAAACAGAAGACATATATTGAAGGTTCGTATGAATTACCTCGCTATCACAGCTGAAATCCCCAAGATCATTTTCAGATGAAAGACCTCTTCTCTTGAACGGCGCATTTGTATCAGAATCGACAGCGCCGGAGGAAGAAAACACGTTATTATCCGAACTTTCTTTGACGAAATCCCCAGGATCCGACAATTTCACGGCGGCGCAAGTGGAGTTCACACCCAAATACGAAGCATCGCCAAATCTAGAATCCAACTGAGCGTGATTCAAAACACGACTCAACTGAAACCGACTCTCGGGAAAATCAAGCATGCAGGACACTCCAGCAACAGAGGTGGACTCCTCCCGCCGCCGCGAAAACAGAGACGAAGAGTGCCAAGGAGGTTGAGAATGCAAGAACGGCATGAACTTGTTCTTGAAGGAAACACAAGATGGGGAAGAAGCAGAAGAAGTGGTGGTTTGAAGATGCTGATTGATGAAGGAAGAGAAATTTTCAGGGTCATGAGGCAAACCAACAACATCCGAAGAAGGGGATGTTCCATACAGATCCGCCATGATTGAAAGGAAAGATCAAAAGGGGTTGCAAGGAAGGAAGAAGAAAGAAGGATTACGTTGGGTTTGTTGGAAATTGAAGTAGAAATTGTGCGGAAAAACGGTTTGGAGTGGAAGAAAATGGAGATTTGTTTGTTATTGCATTGCTTTGTGTGTACTTTTTCTTGGATTCCGTCTTATCTTATAGCGAAGGATGATTTGTAGGATTAAGGATTTTTCATTAATGGGGTTTTTGAAGCTTTTGCAGACTTCTGGTCTGCCTCCCGAGGATCAACTTATCGCCTTGCTTCTTAATCCTACCCCTCCCGCCTTAATCTTCTTTTTCTCCTTGAGATCCCACTAATGGCTTCTTTTTCAAAATTTGGCCCATTATTTCTTTTATTTACAAAGTTTTCCCAAAAAGGAGGATTTGTCTTTTACCTAATTTCCCTTTTTGTTCTTCTTTTATAATTATGTAATTAATGCGACTCGTTTTTTTTTTCATCGTCTGAACTTGAATTACCAAATAACTTTACTTTTAAGATTATTTAAAAATTAAAGAATATTTTACGTTTGTAAACAATGTTAATTATACGTTACAACTAGTAAATGTTTGGTCACCAACTTAACTAACTCGAATTGTAATCTATTGGACTATGTATAGATTAACCACTGTCATTAAATTTTGATTTTTTTCTTTTTAACTATATTCTCAAAAGATTTTAGATAATTACTTTTTTTCATTCAAAGTATTAACAAAATTTCAACAAAAATAAATAAATAAATAAAACTATTTAATATTAAATATGTAAAAGATAAAAATAGCTTATCAATTACGGGCGCATTAAAAATATGCATAAAGTTAGTTAGGAACATAGTATTAAATGAATCACATGTTAAAAAAAATATATGGTTATGTTAATTATTTTTTATTTAAAACTTTTTTTAAAATATTAAAATATTGTATTAGGCATGTTCATAAAATAGAAATCACCTAACTTAGTTGGGAAGGATAAACATATTTTCTTTATATGGAAAATAAAAGTAGTTAAAAAAATAAAGCATTAATTTTTAAATTATTAAAAATTGCAGTAAAGGAAACAGTACTAAATGACAGCATGGCAGTCTTATAAAGTCAAACCCCTAATAATTATCTATCATTCCTCTTATCCCCACCAAACGTCGCCGTTTCGGTCTGCCTCTACACTTCTCCAATCAATACAATTTCCTCAAATCCATGCCTCACTTTTCTATTTATTTACGAATTTTTTAGAAATAAGTTTATTTTATATTTATATTTAATAAGTTAATTAATTTTAAATTTCCAACATGTCAAGAATATATTAAACACACAATAAAAAATAAAAATTTCAGGCTTTGATTGAATGACTAGGATGTAATCTACCTAATTTCTAAGGGTGAAAGTCTCGAGAGATCTCAATTTCATTAATCCAAAACCTAATTTTTACACGTGGATATTTATAGCCTCCCCACACAATAAACTTCCCACCCTTCAAATGTCTACTCAAAAAATGTTATAGCCATGATGAGTTTAACTTTCGACTATCTTTCAAATGTCCACTACAAGAAGTTATGGTCGTGATTGGCAAGTAACTCCACTGCCCTTCAAATATCCACTAAAAGGAGATTAGGTCATGATTGACAAGTGGTATCTCTCCATCGAGCTTCAAATACCCACTATAAGAAGTTATGAAATTCAAACAATAAATAATTGTCTTCAAAGTTACAGCAACATCTACCCATGATTAACACGTCAAATAGGAGTCCGGGCATAATAGATCCTTAATTTACATTAGAAAAAAGATAATATATGATTAATAATGATGATAAAGAAAAAGTATGTAGATCATTCTCATTTTATCTCCTTTATCAACACTTAATGTCCCATATTGGTTGGAGAGGAGAACAAAACATCATTTATAATAATCACCAAAGTCGACCGAGCTTCGCTTGGCTGCGTGTGAATCCGGCACATGATGAAAAAGATCTTCCTGTCAGCGTGTTTAAGCTTTAGAACTAAATGTCTGACCATCTAGATTTTCTTCTCCTCTTTCCTGATTTCAAATCTTTGTTCAACAAGACTATTAAACCAGGAGGAGAGCCCAGAGAAAGCAGGATTGCAACATCATCAACAAGACTTGATCCGAGCTGCAAGCCCCCCAAGCGTCAATAGGCTAGAGAACAGGTTTGCTCCAAGCAAGATGACAGAGTTACTAAAACTGTTTCTGATTGACCACTTTGATCCTATAGCAACCAGAGCTGATCCTATAGCATCTGATCAAGCCTTAATCAATGCTTTAAGATAATTTTCTGCTTATCTGATTTTTTAGTATGACTGGTCTTGTTCATACGTGAATTGTTCACTATTTGAAGATTAGCTAGGAGGGGAACAAATATGTCAAGCTTTTATGAGTGTAGTAAAGATTGATGTGGAGAAATTTGATAGAGTGATGCACTTAGGCGTGTGGCAAGAGCAGGTCAGTGATGTGCTGATACAACCTGGGTTACACAAGGCTTTGAAGGGAAGACTGAGTGGTGATACTTCTGAAAAGCTAAGCATTGATTCTAGTCCACTGGCAGGTTTAGCAAAGGTTCAAAAACGTCTGGCATGAGTGATGAAGAATAGGAGGACTTACATTAAAGAGTTGCAAGGGCAATCAAACTAAATTGGCTAAGAATATTTCTTTCAAATATGCATGACATTTTGATAGCCAAAGAGCTTTGAGAGAAGCTTGAAGCAATGTATTAGGCAAAGAGCATCTCAAATCAACTATACTTAGAAGGAGCAGTTTCACACGGTGTGGATCGAGAAGGGTACGAAAATCTCATATCATCTGAGTGTGCTCAATGGCATTGCCTCCGAGATGGAGGAGATTGAAGTGAAGATAGAGGATGAACATAAAGCATTCAAACTTATCTAACCACTTTCGCCTTCGAAAGAAGCTTTAAATTTTGTTGAGGCTACAAGTAAACTTCTATTAGTGGAAAGAAGGTTGAAGAGTGAAGGCTGCACTTACACGAGGATTCAACACTAGTTGGAACGCCCCAGATCCACTGCTAGCAGATATTGTCCTCTTTGGGCTTTCCCTTTCGGACTTCCCCTCAAGGCTTTAAAACACGTCTGCTAGGGAAAGGTTCCCACACCCTTATAAATGGTGGTTTGTTCTCCTCCCCAACCAATGTGGGACATCACACTAGTAGCTAGCAACAGGAAGAAGACAGACTTTGGGCAAAAGAAAGGCGGCTGGGAATATAGACCATCCAAACACATAAAAAGAGATATCCTAACCTAGTAGATTCATCAAAGGGCTCTAGGTTGGACGGTAACGTTGTCTCTCTCGTCAGAAGAGAAGATGACTGTCTCTAGAGACATAATTCATCCTCACGGTATGTCCACGTTATCATGATAAAGGAGGTGTTATTAGCGATTCCGCCACTTAGCACGTGCTCATTGGCTTAGTGGTCGTGCAAGTGTGTGTGAGATAGAAATTATGTCGATGACTGAAGAACATCTGGTGAATCAAGTGGGTGGAAGTTGCACCATAAACTTCAACATGGTCCCTAAACTATAAAACGTATCTAATAATTCCATAAACTTTCAATTTTGTATCTAACCAGAGATGGAACTTTCAATTTTGTGTTAAATAAGTCACCAACTCAACCAAGCATAGAGGGATTATTGCACTAATCAAAGTGTGAGATCCCACATCAGTTGGAGAGTGAAGCGAAACATTTTTTATATAGGTGTGGAATCTTTTCCCTAACGGACGAGTCTAAAGAGGACAATATCTATTAGTGGTACACTTTGGCTGTTACAAATGGTATCAGAGTTAGGAACTAAGCGGTGTGCCAGTGAGGAGGTTGGGCTCCAAGTGGGTGGATTGTGAGATCCCACGTAAGTTGGAGAGTGGAACGAGACATTCCTTATAAGAGTGTAGAAACCTTTCCTTAATAGACGCGTTTTAGAATCTTGAGGAAAAACCCGAAAGAAAAACTCAAAGAGGACAATGTGGACTAGGGTTGGGTTTGGACCTGTACACAGAATCATTCAGAACATTTTTTTCCTATAAAACACATATAATGAGAAAGGCAGCAAGGGTTCCAAAGGCAGCAATATCAACAAAACAATCGAAAGGATAGTATACACCATTACTTAAAATCAAAATCAGATAAGGATTGTAACTGTGGGAAATCAAACAACATAAAAATAAAGATAAACCAAATATTCAAAGTCAATTACCTCAAAAAGTAACAATGTAGGCAAGAGAAAGTAAATTTTCCCTCAAGAAAAGAGTATAACACAGTAAAGAAAGTTTCTCACCAACGCTAAACCGAAGAACGAAGATTTCAGAAGTCGTGGCCGTCGTTGAAGACTATCAAAGAAAATACTACAGAAGCCGTCGTCGCTGCCGTGCATGAAGGAAAGAACAAACGCCGTCGCTGGAAATCGCTGTCACTAATGCCGTCGTCTGGTATCCAGAAGTGGTTGCTTTGCCAAGGTTGCAGCGTCGCGCGAGAGGAGACGGCGTGCGTGCTGCGAGTGGGGGAGAAAGGAGGCAAGGGAATTAGGTGGTTTTTTATTGGGGGTAACATTGTAATTTCACAGTCTCAAAAGTCTAATTACCAAAGATGTTTGGATAATGGTTGAAAATGACCCAAAAAGATTTTGACTTTTGGAAATTGGCCCATTTCTAAAAAGTAATTTGCATGCTTTTTTTTAGCTTATTTTTATTGTATTTTCTTAATTTTAATTCATATTATTTTTGTCTTTATTTATTAATTATGGTAAATTACCTGTTTTCTAAAATAAAAAAAAGTTTTTGCTCTCTGCTAAGAAACAGTGATTGTGACACCAAGAGTCGACCAACCAAGAAGTGGTTTTCAATCGTTTTTTTGCAGATATGAAGAGACTCTTCAATGTTGAGAACAACTAGAAGCGCGTCGAGAGACCTAAAGTCAACCTCAATCTACATGATTGAGTTTGTGAAAAGTCGGTTGATAGAGACATCAACCAATTGAGTGGGGGAGGATGTCATGGTCATCCTCATTCAAGGCATGTTGTCTATGGCCGCATGTCAAATGTCCCAGTCATACTTGTCCAGGACATGTTGTCCATAGTCCCATGCCTGTTCTAAACCCTTTTTCCTTTTTACATGCTTCATCTTAGATAGGTTTTTATTATTTCATGTTAACCATTCACCAAAATCATGTCTACGCCCACTAAAATACCTCAAAATGTACAATAGAGGATATGATTAGTTGTTACTTATTCCTACCTGAGTTATAGGTTATTTTAAGTAGTGGTGTTCCTTTATTTCTTATAGTCATATAACATTGTTTTCTTCCCTTCTTTCAAATCGTTTTCAAATGTATTTCTTCGCTCACATTTTCTAAAACATTTAGTTGACTGAACATACGCCGATGTCTTTGCGACGTTCGAATTTCTCACGTCTAACTTGTTTGTTGGGCTAGAACAAATGGTCATACAATCGTTGTTCTACGGCCGCTCCTATAACATCCCATACTCCTAGTTCCAATAAGCTACGAAAAAGCTATAAAACATACAACGAATAAGCTATAAAATGCATAAAAACCATTTTTTGGAAAAACGGATCGATTCTTTAAGGCCAGACCGAAACTCCAACCATTACCCACCAAGACGTTTTAAACAAAACCTTCAACCAAGCGACCGTGAATAACCGAGCTGAGTAAGGGAAAGTCCGATGATATATTAAGACCAACAATCTCTAATGTCAATGGGAGTAAACATTAATTAGTTTCACTGACCATCATAACCTTAAGCTAACAATTCCTTGCCAATTAGAACCTTGAATTTTTCTTCCAAAATAAAATAAAAAACAAAAAATGGATTGCTTGCATATTTTAAAATTTTACTACTTGTAGAATGTATATAGAGAACTTCAATGTGGCTCTTCGTTTTCCCGACCGAACGTAGAGAATCGACAAGCAACTTCCTAGCATAGCATCCCCCCTCTTCGAGGCGTCCCCTGTTCGGTCGCTTATCTTCGTTCAAGCCACAGGCCACCACATTCGCTCTACGAGCCAACATTCATTCTCGGCTTGCAAAACCAGTTGTTTTGCAGATGGGACATATATTCTTTTGCATCAGCCATTGCTTGATACATTGTGTGTGGAACTTGTGCCCGCAGTCCAGCATTCCAATGTCTTCCCCTTCTTTGTATTCCTCCTGGAAATCAGGTCGGTTTTAGGCTAATGCAGGTTTAAAGACTGATACGAATGAAAACGAAATGAACTCGTGGATACCTGACAAACACAACATGGTTCTTCCTCGACCTGTGGTTCGGGGGCATTGACGTGCTTCGTTCGTTTCAGTCGAGCAACAATCGTCTCTTCGCTTAGTCCAGTGTTGACGTTTCCAATGCGCTCTTCCAAAGCCAACAATTCCTGCACTTGACATACTAATAGATTAACAGAGCAACAAAAAGATGTGAAATAATGGGTTCGGTTTGGTTTGTATCAGTCGAACCTCATACGACATGTTGTCAACGTCAAGGCGCATATCCCTGTGCCGATCGTAAATATCAGCCATCCCGAAAAATAGTGACTGGTCCAGGATCATCACATCCTAACAAAACACAATTTTACAGCAACATTAATATTGATACATAAATCATCCACTCCTTGAATATTGAGAGAATATGTTTGATTATTAATTCAAGAGCAAAATGAAGTGAACCATTTGTTTATAAACACAAGACACTGTCATACACCATCACATTGGATATTCATATCACTTATGAACAAAGACTAAGTAGCTGTTTGCTACCATTTACACATTTTAACAAATCTAGACGAAAATCAAACATGTAGCATTATGACTTCTTGTATGCAATCATGTAAATTCGCCAATGCACCCATTGCACATGATATGGCACCGATAAGGAAACTACCTCAACTCGTAAGCTTTCCCCCCGACGGACAAGGCCCAAGACATTGCGAATCTGCTGCAGACAAAAAACGATAACATGTGAGCTTCAAATTCGTTTCAGAAGATGATACTCGAAGAATTCGAAAGCAATCGTCCAGCAAACACCGGCATCCACAAGTGTAATTATAGATATGCATCACAAATGTACCCATCATAAATCAAAGATGAGATAATAAGATTTAGATATGCATTAAGATATATAGCGCATATGCGTCTAGGGCGTCGTTCAGATACTCCATGAAGGAAAAATTCAACATACCTCAGATACTAGTCTATTATTGTCGCTTCCTTCACCGGAAGTAGCCAAGGTTCGTAATGAATAGGGAAGACCAAGCCCAGTGTCACCTCTTCTTTCCATCCATAATGCGGACCTTGGTTGCAATAAATGGTGCCCCCGACGGCCAGATCCAGATGAAAGAACCATATCCTGGGCAGAAGTAGAACCGGATCGTTGTGAATAATTACTTGTCCTACCACCGGACTCGTTTGTAGCAGAAGAAAATAGCTGCCTACGAACATATTCTGTTAACCTTCGAGGAAACTGTGTTGGACTATTCTCAGGAGGCATCCAAGGTCCAGAAGGGGGGTGGACCCCTGAACTTGAACCAACCCTGGATGTAGAAGCAACAGTTCCAGGAATGGACAGGTTTGAAGATGCTAAACCTCTACTTGATGGATTACGAACCAAATTCCTCAGCTCGTTTGCTGGGACAAACATGGGATGTTCAGATACGTTTCTTCCCATGTTGCTTGGTCTCACCTCCTCACGTTGCACCACCTGTCTCTCCCCTGCAGAGCTCGACGAACCGCCACTTCTAGAAGTAGAGCTCCCATTCCACCTATATGGTTGCAGACTTCGGGGTAAAGCAGGCACATGTATCATAAGTGGCTGACCTTGAGCAGATATATTGTCTACAGCTGGTGCTGGCCTCAAGTCTAATACATGCTCAGCAGGTAGAATTCTAGCTGGGAGCTGGGAAGATGAGGCCCCGGGATGCCGAACAGTCATTCCAGTCGGTGCAAAAGAATCTTGTGCATTGGATGAACTAATCCTTATACGATAGTTTCTTTGAGAACTATCTGAACTTTCTGCAACCATTGACTCAGAGAAGCTGTTGGAAGTCATTT